GAGAGGGGGGGAGGGGAGGGGGTGGAGAGAGAGACAGAAAGACAGAGAGAGAGAGAGAGAGATGGGGGAGAGGGAGGAGGGAGGAAGTGAAAGGAAAACGAGGGAGGGTGAAACGGAGAGTGAGTAGCGTTTTATTTTTATGTATGAAAAGAAAACTGTGAAAGAAATATCAAACATTATTTTCCCTTCTGCGATAGGTCAGAAAAACATTCGAAGAGTTTCGTCTTGAGTCGCTTTTTTGTACGTGTATTCTGTGTAATGTTCTTTCCTATACCTTTGTTTGTGACACTGCGGGAAAGAGACGGAGAAGGCTTAAGAGCACAGTTGAACCTGCTCTATCGACCACTTGTACGAGACAAACACCTGTATAACCGACCACTTCTCACGTTCCTTTTTGCTTTTTTCAGTATTATAATAACTTTATCCAAGAGGACCACCTGTCTAAGATGACCACTTTTCTCCTCAACTTGAGCGGTTGTCTTGGGCAGGTTCGATCGTGTTTTTCGTATGTCGCTACTTTAGAATTACAAAGTTCTATCTGCTCAGGACCTAGTTTTGAGAAATTGGAAGTTTAAAAATGTGAGTTCCACAACATGTCCAGATTTTTCTAGTGAAGTTCTTTGAATATCTTAATAACGACCTTGTATACTCGAACGATTTTGATAGAGCTGACAGTATTTTGGTCTCTGACTTCATGGTCTTAGTAACTCAAAACAGCCAAAATGTCAGGTAGAACTTTGTAATGATACGGTAGCGATGTGTTTAGACATACTATTCTTTATTTGTCGGTGATCTCACTCCGTGTTCTGCACCTTTCGATGAAAGGAATGATCGGTGCTTTAATATCAACTAAAAGTAATTGACCTACTTTATTAACACTCTACCGGAACGGGGCAATAATATATCTTGAGAGATGCAAGAAATTAGAAGGTCTAGATCTATACTCTCAAAACAAAATGCGCCTCGCGAAATATCACTTCCGAGTTTTCTAAAATTACAGAAGCGTCGGCATACAAAAGCGATCGGCGAAATTAAGAAATTTACCTTTTTGCAGCAAAACTGTCTCAAAACTGAAAAAAACAAGGGCGTCATGATTTAGAGAATATTGTAAAGAATCTATGGGCGAAAACCGCAATGTCGATCTATGCAGCTATTAAAAAGCCTTTTGAATAGCAAAATTCGGCCACCACAAATAGATAATACTAGCTGGGCCCCCTTTCGACGAAAGGAATGATCGGTGCTTTAATATCAACTAAAAGTCCTTGGCCTACTATATTTACACTCTACTGGAATGGGGAATTAAATCTTGAGAGATGCCAAAAATTAGAAGGTCTAGATCTAGATCTATACTCTCAATACAAAAAGCGTCTCGAGAAATATCACTTCCGGATTTTCTAAAATTACAGAGACAGAAGCGTCGGCCTACAAAAGCGATCGGCGAAATAAAGAAATTTAGCTTTTTGCAGCAAAACTTTCTCAAAACTGATAAAACCAGGGGCGTCATGATCTGGTGAATATTTTTAAAAATATTTTGGCGAAAACCGCATATCGATCGATGCAGCCATTGAAAAACCTTTTGAATAGAAAAATTCGGCCACCACAAATAGATAATACAAGAAGTCATCTTTATACACATTGAACCTATTGTATGGGTATTTGGCGGGTGCTCCGGTGTGGTTTGCTAGCCGCTCCTTTCTTATCAACCACATCGTCCTTTTCTCCCTTCCTTATATGTCGTATTTGTTACTCTCTTATAATACATCAAATCATCGGCATGTTTATGACCTCATTGTATTGCAAGTGCCGTAAGACTTCTACTACAACGAAAAAAGAAAACGGAAACTGTTGTTATTGTAACTACAGGTCTGGTGTTTTACGTCTCCATGGATGTTACACACGTCAATTTGGAGGGGGAAAGGGGGGAGGGGGCTGCGTCTGCCAGGGCTAACCCGGCCTGCAGAGGGATACCACGTTTCAGCAGACAGACTGAGTGAGATACACGATAAAACACCTTCACACACGGGAATCGAACTCATCTCTTCTGTGTGTAACGGCGAAGCGCCTAATCGCTACACCACAGACGCCGGCATATTAATGAAACTAGTATGAGAATATTAGACAATTTGTCGTTGAAGTTTGTTATTCCTTGTGTACTGCACTGAGCGCAATCTTTAAAAAAAGGGGGAAAAGGGTCTTTCAGGGTAAATTTTGAGAGGGTTAACTCTTCGAACAAGTACATCCTGGTCATTCGATAACGCTCGGATTTTTTTCCATTCGCCTTTCTTTATCTGAAGATTAAAAATTAAGGCAAGCAACAATAAACGTACTTTGACATATGCAAATTCGTGTTTCTGATGTGTGTATAATGATTCGACATGTGCCGCAGCTTTGTCTTTGAGCTGCGAGTGGTCGGACATAATAAGGGGCTCTCGTGGCCTAGAGGTTAAGGTGTTGGCCTCTCATTCAAAGGTCCTGGGTTCGAATCCGGGTAGCGACCGAAAAATTTTCTTCTCTAAAAATGGTCTCCTTTCACCTCCTTTCCAGCTCTCTATTCAATGTTCTGTTGTCTGCTTTCAATTCCACTTTCTGCCCTCATCCCCTCACCTCCTTTGCCCTCTCCTCTGGACTCCTGACTCTTTCTGCAGCCTTTCTACTGCTACTCCTTGGC